CAGGCTGTAATCCCCACCTCCTCTCTCTTCCTCTTCACCGCTCGAGCATGCTCCTTCCTGGCCGTATTTGAGTCACCGTCCGTTGGCCCACCCGAAATAATGTAAATCGTTCCTCTCTTCATCGGGGCCTCTCCTCCATGCCCTCCCTTATCACCATCTCTCCTTGGCTTCTTTCTTCGACCGTCTCGACCATCTCCCTCCTCATCTCTATCACTCCTTTCCTCCGAGTCTTCCCTACACCGTCTCCTTCCTTTCCCTTTCACCCTGTCATGATACACAAATTCTTTCAAATATCCCGCTCGAATCAGCCTATCGATCTCATCTTTCAAATGTCTGCAATTCTCCATGGTGCGGCCATAATCTCGGTGAAAGCGACAGTAAATATCCGACCTAGGTCGAATTGGGCCCGTAAACCTCGTCTTCGGCCAAGTCACATCCTCACTCGACATCTTCTGTTCCATGGCCTCGAGGACCTCCGTCATGTCTTTCTTCAAGGGCGTGAAAGTGTGGTATCTCTGTCTCTCAAACAAAATCGGCCTCCTCTGCCACTCATCCCTCTTCTCCCTTTTCGAATCTCGACTCTCTCTTCGGGGTGATGCCCTCTTCTGCCCACTCCGTTTGGGCGAATTCCTCCTCGGCGATCTCCCCCTCTGCGGACTTTTCTCCTTTTTTGGCTCTGGTCGAGCCACTCCTTCCAACTTTGCAAACTCCATCTCCATCTCCTCCAAGTTAATATACTTCCTGCACCGCTTCAGCACATCCTCATATGATCGAGCAGGGGTTTTTGCTAGGGAAGTTCGACAAGGCCCTGCTCGAAGAATCCTTATCAATCCACCCGCCTTCACCTCGTCCGAAGCCGAGTGCACCTCTAAACATGTTTGGTTATATCGGGCAACGTACTTCCTTAATGATTCCTTCTCCCCCTGCCTCATCGCCATCAAAGTTAGATACGTTTTCTCCTGCACCACCGCGCTCGAATATTGATTGATAAGCTTGCCAGTAAAATCCTCAAAGCTCGCGATCGACCCAGGTGGAAGTTGATGAAACCAATCGAGTGCTCCCCCACGTAGGGTCGATAAAAATGCCCTGCAACAAACAGAATCAGAGTACCCATGCAACACAGCCATATTTTCAAAGGTCCTCACATGCCTCGATGGGTCAGATGACCCGTCATACACCAAGTTGGTCTCCTTGAAATTGTTTGGCAAAGGAGCAGCGAGAATCTCCCTTGAAAAGGGATGTCCTCGAGCTCTCCTCTCTGGCCTCCCCTCCACCTTATCTTGCAGCTGACGCAACTGCTCCGCCATCCTCTCCATTGCCCGATCTCTTCCAGCTCCTCCTTCTCCATAACTGGACACATCCTCATCCTGGCTCCCGGCCACCGTGGTTGGTGCAGTGGTGGCATGAGATGTATGACTCGCAACTTGCTGCACCGCCTGCGCCGCCGCGGCCGCCGCTATCCTCTGCATCTCCTCTCGGGTCATCGCCACCATTTGTTGGTCGGGGGCTTGTATGGCTGCCTGTGGTGGCACTCCTCCTTGCGCCAGCACTCCTCCTTGCCCTTGTGTTAGATCTGGTGGTGGTGGTGGTGGCATCGCCGCTGCTGCTGCTACACGAGCCTCCTGGGCCCGACTGGAGCTGGCGTCTCCTCCGGGAATCACCGTCGTCACTCCTACGCCTTGAAGATTAGGTGCGGGAGTGATCATAGTCTGCGATGGGCCGGAAAAACCCGGAGGAGGGCCGTGCCCCAATGGTCTGGTCGTCGTCCAAGCTTCGTCGAACGTCGACTGCAAGTTTTTAGGAATTCCGTCCGCCATAGCTGAGCTTCAAAAACAAATTTTTGAACAAAGAAGTCCCCACAGACGGCGCCAATAATGCAAGTGTAAGCGTCCTGGTCTGGTTTTAACGGATAGATCTTGGTCCTCGCCGGTAGAACGCTGGAAACCTACAAATAACTCTCACACCGGGGGTTGTATCCGGTGAAGAGCCTCCGATGCTTAAGTCAGTATGTGTATGAGTATACTGAAGTGAAGTATGGAAGATAGAATGTGTTAAGGGAGAAAGGCTCACCCCCCTTTATATAAGGGTGAAATACTTGCCCTAAGAGCTGCCCGGATAAGGATGAGCTGGCTACCCAAGCTGCCCGTCCGTACTCTGGCACGCCGCGCACATGTCAGAGGTGGCGCGAGGCGTTGGGAGCTGTCAGAGGTGGTTATCGCTATCACCCAATACATTGGCGACACGTGTCCCCCCTGCACATGGGGTAAATATTCTCCTGGGATTTAGTTGGAGGCTCTCACGCGCGCCCGTGATACACGCGCCCATGACTAGGCCGACTGTTAGTTCCTCGAAGCGATCGACCTGTTGAAGTCGAATAGGTTACTCGATCATGTATCTAGTCGAGCGATGGGTTGCTCGATCATTAGTTTGGTCGTGCAGTGGACTGCTCGATCGTTATTCTGGTCGTGCGGTGGACTGCTCGATCGTTAGTCTGGTCGTTTCCCTAAATGTTCGATCTTCCCGCCTTTTGGCTTGGCTCCCTCTCGGTTTAACCTTCTCGATCGGCCCAGTAGACCGGTTTAGCTTTGTGTATATAATATCCCATATCAGAATTAATTAATGGACATTATATCTTAAACATGGGAAGGTAAATCGGATAATTATAATAAGGAGTCTCAAATGTAATTTGGGATAGGTGAGGGGAGTGCAATAATATTATTGTGGTGGACTTTAATATTATTAATATATTAATTGTGGGGTTGCTCCACAGTATTAATATATTAGAAGCCCTTATCCTATTCTCCTTAGGGTCGCTACTGTAGCTCTATATATACAGCATTAGGGTCATGAAAGAAGAGAACAATCCCATACAATAGGGAAGTCGTCTGCCCCCTCTCTCTCTCTCTCTTCCAAGGAGTAGTTCTATTTCTTGTGCTCCACTGATACAAGATCTAGATAGCTGTTTGAGAATACAGTAGAAGATCTTAAGGTATATACAGGATTCCAATCAGATCTATCATGCATCCAAACCAGAGACCAAAACCAGCAAGTGACCATACCACGACGACCAGGACGACGAGACGAAGAGATCGCCGTCGAGATCGCCGCCAGCCGCCGCCGCACGCGCCGCCGGAAGGGAGCAGCTGCCGGAACTTACACGAGCGCGTGAGAGCGCGTGGATCGTCCGATTTCCGATCGGTCAACACCATTGACTTCACCTTGACGTCAGCTTTCTGGATTGGTCAAGTTTGTTTGATTCCGAGAAGTTTTGATTTGCAGTCAACTGTTCGGGCCAGCCAGATCTACATAAATTTTAAGCAGTAAGTTTTCTTCATCAAACCTTTAGATCCGCTGCGCATAGGTTTATGTTGAATGTTTGTCCGTGATTTGTGCATATCGAGATCCTCATATGTTCCAACATCTGCACCACTGGATTCTTGATTGAAGTTCTAACTCTTCTGAAAACTTGAGAGGTGTTGATTGTCTAAGACTGACTGCGTGTTCTTACATTACCAAGGAACATACTTATTTTTTGTATTTTTGGTTTTTGTCACAAAGAACTGCCTTCTCATAAATGATCTAGAGCGATAGCTAGCACATGGTTCATTTCCCAATGCGGGACCGACTGTGAAAAGAGCGTCTGGGATAGAAAATGTTGAGAGGGGCGTAAGCTAGTGACACACATTGCATATTATTATGTGGTGTTCTTACTCGGAGTAATAAGGTGGCCACCCACATAAAAACCGTAGTGCTGATTATAATAATAAAAAAAAAACATAGGATCCTTGCTTAAAATCGTGGTGCAAAGTAGTGGGGTTGACTTTCACTATTGCAGTGATTGTTACTAAGTGAAACGCACTATGAACAATATGACATGTGTTCTTGCAAAAATTGAAGTTGTGGTTCGCACTACCTTGTGTATATACATATATCCGTTTATCGTATGTTCCTTGGGAAGTTTGAATCTCAAAGCTGGTCACGGATTGTCTTCATCAATTTTGTCTAAGTTGAGTAGGAAAAGATTTTTCGAATCTAGTGTATTTTGTGTGCGATTTTTATTTCTCTTTATTTTTCATCCTTAGGCATAATTGCATGTGATTTCCTTATTGAATTTGAGCTATTGGCGTCTAAAATTTTGTGGAGAAAATATACTTAGGAATAAAATCGGATTTCTTTCCTAAGTTTCTAATTATTGTGAGAAGTTATTTTTGTGGGGAGTTTTATTGTTTGAATTCAGATTTGGAGGGATTAGTTTTTTGCACTAAACCGCCCAACTTACCAACGTCTCTTTCTCTCTCCTTACCTTGATATTCGGAAACTGCTTTATGCAGTTATTCATGTCAGAACTTATTTCAATCTCTCACGATTCTCCACTCTCTTAATCATTCTTTTCTTCTCTGTTTGAATTTTCCTATTCTCTCCTCTCTCATTTTCAAACCAAAACCCTAGTTTTCTTCTTTCTCCTCATAAAACTCAATCGCCGTTCTTCTCCCATGGCGGGAAGTAAAGATAAATCTAAGAAGCGGTTAAAGAAGCACAAGGAGAAAAGGCTGAAGCGCCACCGTCTCTCCATCTTTGCAAGCTCTCAACGAGAGTCTCCTCCGCCGGCAAAATCCCCATCTCACGAGTCGCCGCCGCCCAAAAAGTCTGTTTCCTTGACTACAACCACTTCTGGTTCCCCATCCAAATCCGACAACGTCGGGAAGAACTTTGAGATCTCTCCACTTTTCACAGGTGTACCTGGTCTGTCAGGGTTCGATGACGTCCCAGCGACTCAGACTCAGGGGGAGTCGTATACTGTTCCAACCTCTGCGACCAAGACTACGTCCAAGTCCACTACCAAAACAGTCGAAGAAGAAAAAGAGGACACCACAACAACTCTAGTAGAAGTTCATTCTGATCAGCCAACGCCTCCATCAAAGATTCCAGTACGCCGTTCCACTCGCCGTCGCGGCAAAGAATCCATTGATGCGCCCCTTGTTCCACCTGAACCTGAAGACGATGCTTATGACCTTGAGAACACCTTCACCAATCGGTTCTATACAGAGGCGGCTCATGAACGCTTTGTTAGTTTTGGATCTTATGGGTTTTGGTTCGAACGTCCTGTGGAAGACGGTAAGTTTGTTGATCTTGGTATTCTCCGTTTGATAGAGTCTGTTGGTCTGTCTAAAACTGTGTCTGATCTTCAGCCTTTCTGTGGCCAAGTTGTCAAAGAATTCTATGCTAATCTCACGCATGCAGTGTTTGATTCTGATAACCCTCGTTTTCACAAGCTCTTTCTTCGAAACCGTGTGATTGATGTGTCTCCTGCCTTGTTTAATGTTCATCTTGGTTTGCCCTCTGATCTTGATAACTCTTCCCTCACTGAGGTCGATTTGGATGCAATGACCAAAGTTCTTACTATCGGTCAGTTAGATACATGGTCTGGTTCTAATCTGCCTGTGAGTTATCTCTGCTTGGTTGCTAATCTGTTGCATAAAATCGGTGCTGGCAACTGGACTCCTACTTCGAACAAAACTTTGCTCACGGAGTTACAGAGTAAAGTCATTTATTGGGTCATGATTGGGAAGGTTTTCAGCTTTGGGGATCTTGTCTTTGAAATTCTTCAAACCTTTGTCACTAATATTGAGTCTCGCAAAACCCTTCCTTTTCCTTGTCTTATTTGGTCCTTCTTGGCTGCCCACAATTTTTCTGTTAATCCCCGCTACCAAGACTCTCTCGAAAACCCAGAAAAAGCATTCTCTGTGAGTGCTCGCACTCTCAATGAGAAAGGGACAACCAAGGTCACAAGGGAACTGGCTCTCTCCTTAGTCCCTAAAAACTGGGATGAGTTCGTGGCACAACAACTTGGAGAGTGGGATGATTTGGCAAAGAAAGTAGCTGCTCGGCAGGCCTACCTTCGTCAAGTGCTGCAAGCAGTCAAGGGGTCGAAGCGCAAGAACTCGGGGACAGGCCCTTCAGCATCCCGTAATTCGAAAAAAAGGGAGAAGGGTTCAGCTGTTGCTGCTGGCAAAGGTGATGTTGAAGATTCTGACTCTGATGGAGATTCGACTGATGAGGCAATTGACAAATATGAAGCTGGAAAGTAGTTTGGTTCTTTTGAGTGCTGAGGGATGTAGGGAGGTCTTTGTGTATTAAAGAACCTCGTATTTCATTTGCTTTTGTGCTGTCTGTTGCTTGCTACTGTCTGTGGTTATTTTGATTGGTTGATCTGCTACTTTTGATGATTGTTTGCTTATTCTGGAATTCAATGGAAGCTTGTTTTGATTCACTCTATTAAGTTTTGATGGCTGCAGGAACTGAGGGGGAGTTGTGTTTATACAATGACTATTTTTCTGTGTGGGAATGTTTGGACTAACCCCTTGATGTGGTTTGTTATCTGGTGCTTGCTGTGTTTCACTGTTCAAGAATTCTTTAATTTTTGTTGTTTTCGAACTAGATGCCAAAGGGGGAGATTGAAAGATATTTTATTTTGGCATTAGTTCGATGATTCGAACAAGCACCTGGAACCACAGAAAAAGGGAAGATCTTCAATTATTTTATTTCCTTAATTAAGTTTATTTTATATTCCATATATAAGATATTATGGATCTTATTATGGTATTTTATTTTGTAGGAAATCGGACTTGTAAGAATTAAAGGAAGAAGAGGCGTGCATGCTAAGGAGATCAAGGAGAGATAGAATGAAATATTCACTTACCAAAGATAAGCTACAATTATGAAAGGAAATCGTGTTGGAGTCCTATGCCTTGTAGAAGACTCCAACCCTAAGGAGTTCATACAAATACCCTAGGAGAAGCTCCTATTACGGCTGCTGAAGTTAGAGAGATTTTTAGAGCAATATTTGAGCTTCATATTTTCTATTTTATTCAGTTGTACACAGTTCAGTACGAGAGTTCTTACACACTCAAGGACTGAAGCTGTTTTTTGTTTTGTTTCTTTGTTTCTTCAAAACTATCTCTTGTTTTACACTTAGTGAGTAAGTGTAGGTTAAGAAGTCCACGGGACGTGGCTGGAGAATTAGTTGATAGGATCGTGAATAGTGTTGGCTAAACTAGAAGGGAGTTCAAGTCTTGTAAGTCCAAACTATGTCTGTATGCGATTTATCAATGAAAGAGCTCTGAGGGGAAGTGGGACGCTTCCCTGAAGATTTTTTAAATCTTCGGTTTTATTGCTTCCGCATTTTTACAATTCTTGGTTCAGTTCGTACTAATTGGCGTACTCCGTGATAATTACACGTTTTATTTCGGAATTCTATATCATAGGTTCGTGACTTTCCTTTAGGCCTTGTTGTATTAGTTTGAAATTGATAAATTCTGACTTTAAGTTAAGAGAAGAGAAGTTAGAATTTATGTGATTTTATATGCTTATTTTTGTTGCATTATGTGCTCGTATCTGCAATATATGTCTTACGTGTTTTATTTGTTGGATTGTGCCTTTATTCCTTGTGTGGTCTAATCAACCCAATCAAACCCTTAATAATATTTAAATCCCTACTTTTTAGGTTTGAGGAGTCGAGCTCTCGACCTACGTTCTTCAGCTTGTGTACTTTTGCGTACCCAAGTTCCAGGTGAGTCTTATTTGAAATTTACTATGCGGTAAATATTATTTAATGTTTTCTATGTTGTACAACTGTACCAATATTATTTGATACTTACCCCTTCTTTTTAATTATTTGAAAGCTTCTAAAATTATCAAACTATTAATAGACAATAATTCAATATATGTGTTGTGATTTGTGAATATTTTGAAAAAAAAAAAGACTATTTTTTTTCCAAACGATAGAGCTTTTATATAAGAATAATTAATAATTAATTACATCTAGAAAACAGCCCAACAACTGAAGAAGCAGCTCAAGAGATGAATCTAGTGGGAGGACAGCTCCTACGGGAGAAACACAAAACTTCACAATACAAGATACCAGCAAAACATAAAAAGCTAGAAAAACAAATAACCGAACACACTATAAAACTACTAACAACCTAAAGAAAGCTAAAACACCCTTCTCCGGCAGACGAACCACACCAAGCCAACGGTTACAACGCCAGAGGACGACCATCCAAGCGAATCGATCCACGACCTTAGGCTAATCCAGAAAATGCCACTATTGCCTAACTGGATCCCACACCGAAAGCCCACCCGAATCTGGACAGCTGCCCCACACCCGCACCCGGAGAACCACCCACATCCTACCAAGCAAAAGCCACCGGCTCAGGCCCAGAGGAACAAATCCTGACCGCAGCCCAACCACGCCGGCCATCCTCTCCGAATAACACCAAAACGGACGGGATGAATGAAAGGAAGGAGCTTACTTCTCCATCGCAGTCCCCTCCAAGATAGAATCGGAGCCACAACCCAATTCCTATGTAAACGCCAGAGGAACTTCTCAACCAAGCCGGCAAGTACACGGCCACCCGCTTCTCAGTCGTAGCAACCTGAATCGCGGCGAGACCTAGTCCGGGGACGAGCACCGCCTCCGCCCGTTGAAACCGCTCCACCTCTCAATGATACAAAGGGACTTGAGCCGCGAGGCACAAGGACGCCTTCGCCGGAGCCTCGGGATCCCCACTGGGGAAGGCGCGCGATTAGGTTATTTTCTGAGAAGGGGAATTTAGGGATTTGACGGGATTTTTCGAGAAAGTGCCGCTCAGAGAGAGAGAATTTTTTATTTTTTCCAAAAACACGGGTTTTTTCAACTTCTTTCTAGCTTTTTTTTGTGTTGAAAGTATCGAAAAAAAAACAAAGACTGAAAAGAATAAAAAAACTTATAATCCGATTTTAAAATTAAAATACAAATTTGGGTTGTATCTATTTAAATATAGATCAAAATATAAAAAATAATACAAAAAAAATCAACATTATTAAACACTGTTGACTATACTTTATTGAACTTTTATTTAGAGAAAAATATTATTGTACACTATATATATATAGCTATATATATATATATAGCTATATATATATAGCTATATATATATATATATATATATAGCTAGGTAAGGGATCATATGAGAATGATTTCTAGTGAAAGAAATAAGAATGAATGTGTACCATTGGATCAATGATATCCATGGACATGATGAAGTCAAATATTAATAACTCTAGTCAAAACATAATGGCATAGTTGTAAATATATGTATATTTTATGGTCAAATAGACACATCAAAGGGCAATTCTGGAATTTCAATTTCACCATAATTAAGTGGACCCCACACTAATTAACCCTTCCCCCCCTCTTTCACACACAAATACACGCACACATCTGTTTTTTTT